TTTTAAGACAGAGTCTTACTCTGTCACCCAGGCTGGAGCGCAGTGGTGCAATCTTGGCTCACTGCAACCTCCACCGCCCGGGTTCAAGTGATTCTCCTGCCTCAGCCTCCTGAGTAGCTGGGGTTACAGGCGCCTGCCACTGTGCCCAGCTAATTTTTGTAGTTTTTAGTAAAGACGGGGTTTCACCATCTTAGCCAGGCTGGTCTTGAACTCCTGACCTCGTGATCCACCTGCCTTGGCCTCCCAAAGTGCTGGGATTATGGCGTGATGTGAGCCACCATGCCGGGCCAAGTCCCTGGCCTTCTTATTCATGTGACAGTTTTGAGAATCTTTGATTTCAGGGATGTTGAGAGCCACTCCTGTCATCTGGAGTTGAGTCTCACCCATGGGCTAGAGTGTACACACGAGTGGGACCTTCTGTTTTTGAACTTAGGCTGTGGTGTGATCACCCTTTGCTCCGCATCCAACTGACAGGCTGGGACTTGGGCTATGTCCTGGACAAGGCTGGCTGGTGCAACGATGCCCTCTAGAGGATGGATCAGGCCCAGTCACCACCTCAGATTCAGGGCCTGCTACTCTTCGTCTTCCCACTTGGCCCTGGCGACAGACAGATACAGGCCCAGCTGATGTGTCTATCGGAACGACTTTATTTCAGTACACTGGGCCCCACCAGGCAATGTAGTTTGTGCGAGGCTGTGCGAGGGACAGGCTTGGGCTAAGAGAAGGGAGGTGAGTTGGTTAAGCGCACTGCAGTCCGCGGGGCGCTACATTGCTTTCACACATACCTGCTGCTGCGGCCCACACCTGGCAGGGGCCTTTGGTCATAGGATGGTGTGGGGGAGAATACTGTGTGAAGTCTGGGATTGGGATGGGTCTTGGTGTCACAGGTGAGGGTGCCGGTGAAGACAGGCTGGCACCAACTTTGCACCATCTAGGCTGAAGGCCTTTGGACCACTTCTAGGGGTCAGGCCTGGCTCCATTAGCTCCTGGCACTCTGGTCTGGCCCTCTCCCTCAACCAAGCAGGTCCACGGTCAAGAATGGCACAAGATCAGCCCAGAGGGGGCCTTCCCACCTCTACAACCTAGTCCCCTGGTCAGCTACAGTGGCAAAAGGCAACTTGGTAAATTGCAGCTTTCTCCAGTCTTAAGGGCACTGGCTCTCCAACACCCCTCCCTTGCTTAGGGGCCTCTGCCAAAGAAAAATTTTACCTCCTGTTTCAGAAAATCTAACCAGTAACCAGCCTGTTGATTCCAGGGCAGTGAGCAAGAGGAAAAGGGAGAAAGAGCCTGGTGGGAGTGTCTTTGAATGTAGCTTCCAATCTCAAATGGTCCTGCAACCTGTGGACACTGTCAGTTCACCATCAGCTGGGAGAGGTGGGACCCTGGAGGCTAAGCTTAGGTGCTGTAAACATTAGTGTAGCAAGGCAGGAGGCAGCGAGCTCCCTCTCTCCAGCCCCTAACTGAACAAACACTTCAATAAATAAAACTGTTTGAAGATGGCATTGCAACAAGAACGGATGGAAAGCGAGGACCTGGAACCAGCAGGTGCCTTAAACTCTCCCAAGGTCCCCAAAAGGGGACTGGGCTGGGAACATAAACTCTGCAGCCATTCAGAGGGAGGACTGCTCCTGCCCTCCTCCAGTGGCCAGTGTGGTCCTGTTCCCTGGTGAACACAAGGGCCTCCTGCTCTCTCCTAGATCCAGTCTCCGTAATAGCTCTTGGGGTGCTTTTCTAGCCTCCCAAACCAAAATGGCAACAAAACCAGACAGAACTCAACCCCAGCCCCAGTCCTCAGTGTGCAGTCAGGAGGCATCGATAGTGGAGTGACCAGCAAGGGGAGGCAGCAGCTGCCTGGGGCCTCAGGGCACCCTGGGGGTGGGTGTGAGGGTGGGGCCAGCCCAGCCAAGGATGGGCAGCAGCAAGGTCTCCCAGGGGATGGGTTACCTCCCTCTGTCTCCCTGTGGTAGTAAACGGAGTCCCCCACAGCCAGCCAGAGGCCACCTGAGGAGGGAGCACAGCCTTTGCCAGCGCTCTTCCCTGTCAGGAGCCAGTTAGCGGTCAACCCCAGGCCTCGGGCTGTCACCATCGCGGGTAGTTCATCGTCCTTTCTGGGCCTAGGGTCCCTGGGCCACACGGCACTCGCATGTGCGCACACACTCATATCCACACACGCACTCACACACACAGGCAGTTCCTCGCAAACACTCCGACTCAAGAAAGCGAGTTTTAAAGTGGAGTTAACTTCAGAGAGAGGTGAAGATGATGTCCCAACATTAGAAGGTTTTTCTGTGGAT